TATCTATGAAGAGCGGTGCCGCCACGACAAAAAAGAATGAGTAGTGTTCATAAAATGCGGTCGAACTTTTGGTGGGGTCAAAAAATATAGCCGATACTTTTTGAGTAGAATCGGCGCAAAGTATCGATACCGCCAAAAGAATCGACCCGAAGTATCGATTGCAAAAGTACTCATTATCTAAATCAAAGTATCGATACTTACTCAGTATCGATACTATCGTTCTAACACTAATTATGACCCCCCCCTGACGCCGAAGCTGGATCCGCCACTGCATGAGTAGCTAGTTTTTTAAGGCTATTAACAGGGTATAACTTTTTGTGAGCTTAAGATGCGTTTTAATAATCTTTGCGGAAACAAAAAGCAAAATATGACGAAAAACTATGGGCCAATTCTGCCGTGAAATAGACCAATGTTACGTCCCTATCTTCGTATGAGGAATTGCTAGTCAAAATGCTATGTATTTGCTGTGCAGTCAATTCTAACATCTCGAATGTGTTATATGACACACCAGAACTATGCACTTATGACGATATTCTTTTTTGACGTTTATGCGTTAGTTAGGTTTTATATAAACGGCTGATTGCACAGCAAATACATAGCGTTTTGTCAGTTTTTAGTACCATTTTCTTTGAAAACGCAGCGCAACAAAGTTGCCATTGGTCTATTTTGCAGCAGAATTTGTCCATTAGTTATGTATTTCCATCTTCCAACAAATGCCAAACGAAAACTTTTTACATTTGGACTACATTAGCAAAACTAAAAATTTAATTGAATTTCAGGTTTGTTCATTCTAAGAGTGAAGCCGCACTAAGTTATATACGTTGTAGATTAAAATTAATAAAAAAAAAACTCAATACTTTTCATGTATTATTAAAATATGAGAATATACAAAGTCATTAAATGTTACATAAATACTTGGTATATATAATTACATGTATTGTGTTTGAGCAAAAATTATTTATTTGCTATTTGGACACATGTGATGTCTTCATAAATTCTGATCATACTATAGATTCCTTGTTTTTGTCAAGTCCAATATAAGTATACTCTAGCATATAATTTAAGATATATAAAAATCATCTAATCTTTTCTTATATTTATAATAAATATGATAACTTATTTTCTACTATCACTTTCAGGTTTCAATTGATCTACAGTTTTTTTTGTAAATTTAAATTACAGAAGTAAAATGCATTAATTGATCACAATTTTATAAAATGGAATGGCTGGATTCATGTAAATCCAAATTGTTATTGATTCTATAAAACAAGAATACAAATCACAAATTCAAGAAAATTTGCACAAAATTAAATTAATACTTCCTAGGATGCAGCTAACTAAGAATGACTTAATTAGGAAAAACCTAAGGTAATAGATTTTTTGGTAACAGCGACAATAGAACAGTATGCCACAAACACATTTCTAGATTGATCTTGAAAAGTGCCGATCTGCTAAATACAATGTTTTTTAATTGCATGAACCAGTCAATACAATTCATGTGGCGATATTAATTTGCATTACGATAAAATTTCTCAATCATGGTTTTTATAAGCACTTGGTATTTACAAACTACTACTGATTTCTTTAGAGTTTGGTTATAAGCGAAACCAACAATGAGAATAGCGATAATAATCTGGCACTCCAACAGATCAAATAAAAGTAGGATAATACATCTTAAAACTTATTAATATTATAATTAAATATAACTTAAATATATCAATCTTTATAAAGAAGTTAATTATTTGTCATATTATATATATATATATATATATATATATATATATACATACATATATATATATAGTTACTTTGGCCTGTTAATTGATATTTCATAACTATTCATAAAACTAGAGCAGCTTAATTTTCAACAAATGACTTTCAACTTAAATAATTATTTGTCGAATAATAACAGAATCAAGTATACTGCATCTTACATTAAATTTTATATATATATATATATATATATATATATATATATATATATATCATTTTAGTCATTTCAGTGTATAATGGAAATTTGATATTGCTAAGTTTATCTAAGAGTTTTAAGTCTTCTAAATTAATAAAAATTAGACTATTAGTTTACATTATTAACAATTGTTTGAGTAAATAATGTATTATAATTTACATTATGTTAAACCACATTATACAACTTTATATCACATTTACCATGCTTCGGAATATTATCTTTAGAAAACTTGTATTACAGAATATGCTGTTTGGCAGTGTAATGGCTTTGGTTACCATTAAAAATGTAGACTTGAAATTACGTGCACCTATTATTAATTATATAGGAGAGAACTAATCCTGTAATGGCATTTTAATGTATTCAAAAAGTTATCAAGGGATTCCTTATTTAGCATTAGCAGTTGTGGAAGGTGGAGATGTCTTCTTTATGATTTCTGGAATCATAGTGTTGGGAAACGATGAATTAGACATAACTACAACACTTCCACCTGCACGGCCCACTAGCATATCACATACTTGCTTCCATTCATTGGTTTGAGGATTGTATTCCTCGGCTGCAGTTAAGTATTTAGATCCATCAAAACCACCAACTGCCAATAATCTATCCCCTAACACACAGACGCCAATTGCATCACGGCAGCAAGTCAAAGAAGCCATAGGAGTCCAGATGTTTGAGACTGGATCATATCTCTCTACTAGGTCATATCTACTTGCACTGGGATTAGATGCTGGCGCATCATGACCTCCAAGTGCATAGAGGAAGCCATTAACAGCTCCCACTGCAACTCCACCTCTTCTGATGCTCATAGAAGCACACATTTTCCACTTATTAGTATGTGGATCATAGCACTCTACTGTACTTAAACAACCACCGCCATCACGACCGCCAACAGCGTATAATTTTCCATTCAACACAGCTACACCAGGAGAATTTCTCTGACATATCATGTGTGCAACGTAGGACCATGTGCGAGCAATTGGATCCCAACGTTCCACAGTGTTCAAGTATGACCAACCATCATGACCCCCAATTGCGTATAAAGGTCCTTCTAAGATTGCAACACCTAGTCCGTGCCTATGTGTGCTCATCGGAGGTAGCATGCTCCAAGTCATGCTAACTAAATCTAAACATTCCACTGTATTCAGTGTTTTTAATCCATCTCTACCTCCAACAACCATGAGTTTATCTTTAATGATCACAGATCCGAACTGCAATTTTCGACCACTCATAAGACCAAAGGAAGACCATTTGTCACTCCACGGACAATATAATTCCATGGGAGTAGCTCCTCTTGTGGCATCAACACCACCTAATACGATTACTTTACCAAGAGTAGCTTTTCTGGCCCTTGACCAATTGTTAGCAAGATAAGGTCGCCTCTCGGGCAATAAATGCCATTTCAGTGCATTCACTACAAGTCTCTGACACTCCAATATGTTACCACACAAAACATCTACTTGATCAACTAAGAATGTTGGTGAAAGCAATGGAAGACGAATAAACTCTAACAAGCGTGGAAGATGTTTTTCTCTATTGGCTTTATCTTCATTCACCCATTCCATGAGTGCTAGAAAAACTTCCTGTTCTGAATTAACATTCAGATCATCACTTCTGAGCAATGCTGATAACTGAGTATCTGATAACCGCAAAAACTCTTCATCTCTCCATACTTGCATGAAGTTTTCATGAACGTAACTTATAGACTTCTTAAGGAGGGTTGGGCAAGATTGTTGTTCTGCAAACAAAGCAATTCCTAAGCAATTAGAAGGGTGCAATTGTTTTGCAAGAAATGTGCAGCATGCTTCAATGACATCATTAAGTTGCAACAAACATGCTGTTGCAAGTAACGTCTCCACGTTATCTTCTCGTAGCTCGATAGAACCCGTGTAACAATACTGCACAAGATTTTGTAGGGCATCCCCATCGACAGAGCATAGCTGAATTTCATTCTGATTTGCTTCCTTAAGGTTACCTGTAAACATGACAGAGAAGTACTCACTGCATGCTGAGAGAACAAGCCGATGGGCGGACACTTTTGTCCCATCATTGCCAGCAACTAATGTGATATCACACAGTTGTCCATTATTTAAGTATGCTTGCATTTTGATAAGACTGTTCTCAGCATGGTTATAGCACTTATAACTTTGCTCTTGGCTCGATGTGGACGACAGACTCAATTGGCTGATGTCTCTGGCTATTTTTTCTTCCTCCTGCTTATCTGCGGCTGCTTTCGTCATATTTGAAATGATTTAAACTGTTAGTGAGAAAATATCATATATTTTATATAATACTGTATATTATATATTGCCAAATCTTTTGCCAGATAAAACACTGTATGCTACAAGCATTTGAGAACAAGTTAAACGCACAAAGCCCACCATTCTATTGTTTTCTATTTTGAAAATTGTTGATGCATATGTCATTGACATGCGAGCAATGGAATGATTCACAAATGTTTTGTGTATGAGTGCATATCATAGAAAGGGATTCGGTATGAACATTTCTCAACCTTGCCGAAAAGTAACAGAATAAATCACACATTCTATGCAAAGGTTATTGAAAATATTATGATTTTATTTGATTTTTTCATTTTTAAAAACTATAAATGTTAAAATGTCAACATCAAAATTACACATCAAATACATGAAGTTATTAAAAATGTAACGGGGCGAAATACAAAGCCACTTTTAATAAACGGCTACTTAATTAACCTAGAGAAAAAACTTTATAATTATAATTAATTTACCTTGAAATAGCACCCGCAATCTTTTTTCCCAAAATTACAAAACAATATAACTTTCTATAATCACTTCGGGAACAGATGAATAAAGTTGTAACGAGTGGTCACTTTAAACGACTTGACGAACATCGTACGCGTTCGGTTTAGCTCGCGGATCGGCGGGTGTCAAACGACAAACGACTGTCAAACCGTGTCAGACTGTCAGATATAAAAACAAATGGCTACGGTTACTATTGCAACGTTAGAGAAAGCAATTAAATATTGATAATAGTGCAGATTTCGCAACATTTATTATGTACGAGTCACTTTCAGTATAGAACTAAACGATGACATCACCCAATATTATGCTATGTTATATTACAAGCAGTTGACATATATTATATACATAACCTAACCTAATTTCTGTTTTTCAAATAAATAACTAGATTAAATATTATCCTAGTCGGTAAGTTATGGGTGGATTAAGAATAAGAAATACCGCTGTCTCTGTCAAGAGTGTCACAGCGTTAGATGCGTTTCCAAAAGTTCCTGAATCATATGTGAAGACATCAAAGTTAGGAGGCACACGTATGTCGTATTCAATGTTTATTTAATTGATTAAGTCTTAGAACATCAAAAATACGTTTTTTATTTTTTTTTATCATAGTTAAAAATTTAATAATATAAAGATTTGCGAGGATTCTGTTTGGTGTTATTGATATATTCAAATTATACATTCGTACAATGGCATTCTTATCATTTAAACTGACAAAAAATTAATATTTTAACTGTAGTGCATTGGGATACCATTACTTATCTTACAAAGCTTGACATAGTACTAATTATGTGAATATATACAGAAATATTTGAAACAAATCTTAAGTGTCGAAGATGAAGGGACAGTATGGATATTATTATAATGTAAACAAATGGAGTGCGCAATCGCATAATAAAATCAACAAATGTGAAAACGGATTAATTTATTGAAGAAAGTAAGATAATTGAAAAAAATTATAAATTATTTATGATGTTTATATAAGTCGTGTAAAATATTTGTGTCGGTTCTCAGATTTACGCTATTGTTAGTCTGAACTATTAACATTGATTATGTCATATGGAATAAAATTTGGGGATTATCAAAATCAAGCTTATGGTTGTTGATATTAGCATGATTCACAAGCAAGATTCTGATAATCTCCAAATCTTATTCCATGAAAAAGGCTTATTTAAACGGAGCATGGCAGAATCATTGTTAATAGTTCGGACTAACAATGGCGTAATTCTGAGAACCGACAAATATTTTACATGACTCTTATATAAACATCATTAATAATTTATAATCTTTTTCATTTTTCTTACTTTCTTCTATAAATTAATCTATTTTCACATTTGTTGATTTTAGTATGCGATCGTGCACTCCATTTGTTTACATTATAATAATATCCATCCTATCCCTTCATCTTCGATACTTAAGATTTGTTTTCAAATATTTTTGTATATATTCTCATGTTTAGTACTGTGTCAAGCTCTGTAAGAGATAGTTTTTTTTTGTTTTCCACAAATTAAATGTAATTTAAATAAAATATTAGATAATGTGTTAGTATATAATTAACTGTTTTGAAGTTACACTGAAGATGAGGCATACTATTGTCTAGAAACGTCTGTAATTACCAAATAAAGTTGTGTTAGAAATCTGAGTGTTGTATTGTTCATATTTAACATTTAATATTCGTTCCACTCATATCACAAATTTCTATATATATATATATATATATATATATATATATATATATATTATATTAGTTAAAATATATTAAACATCTTCTATTTAGTCTGAGAAAACTAGACATTTAAGCAAATAGAACTTGATATTATAGTCTTATATTTACGTTGTATTTTGTTTTGCAGTTTCACTGATCAGTTATATATTAATATCATGGTTGCTGTATTCAGAGTTAAAATATTACTATACAAGCAGATTCATATTCAAATTTGTTCCGGATACTGATATTAACTCAAAGTTAACTGTTAATATTGATTTGACAGTTGCAATGCCTTGTGCACGTAAGTTAACATTTCATTAATTATATCCTATAATAGAATAGAAATTGACATTAATATCAATATGTATATATATCTTGATAGCTTTTTTGATGTTGGAACATATTTAAAAATAATTAGCGGTATATTTATCGAATAACAAAAAAGTGTCAAAAGAAAAAGAATCTTTATTTTATTAATTATACGTTTTGACGCTTGATATGTGTTGTCAGCCAAAAATTAGGACCAAAACAAAAGATTCTGTTGTCAACTCTGAACTGTTTCGCATCTTTTTTGCAGGGAGATATCATGTCTTCTGCTATATTTTTTTATTTAAAGTTTTAGTTATGTGTTGATTTTTCTTATAAAGTTTAAATACATATATTTGTTAAACTTAATTTTATTGTATTGAATTTTTTTATTTTGTTCTGGTTGATTTGCAGAATGATGGCACAAATCAAGTGCCTAAACATATAATTAATAAAAAATGTTTTTTTATGACTCTTTTATTTTATTCAACAAAAAAGAATTTATGGTATGTTGAATTTATATTAAGTTTGAAATCTTTGTTATATTTTGGTATAGATATTGGAGCCGATATTCTAGATTCTACAAATCAGAATGTTTTTGCTTTTGGAACTTTAGAAGAAGAAGATACTTGGTTTGAATTGGCTCCAGAGCAAAGAAGTTATTTTGATTATTTGCAACATTATAATTCATACCTACGTGAAGAATTTCATGCTCTTTCGGTAATTATAGGAATAAATATTTCATTTTTATGCATTAGATTGTAAACATTATATGCGGTAAAGATTGTAAATTGAAGATCTCATAATTCTAACTAGAAGAATTCCAAATAATGAATAAAGAATTACATTACCATATCAGGAAAAATTTCAATATTTTACTTGATAATTAAGTCTTGTTCATATTTTACTTGATAATTAAATCCTCATCGACTATCGTAAATCCTATTTGACTGATTTTAGCTTTGAACTTGAACTTGTAAATGAAATATTAATATAATTTAAATATACAAAAAATAAATTTGGTATTATTAATTATTGCCATAATTGTTTGTTTAGTTTTGTTTGATCTCCTTTAATATCTTTAAACAAATAATCATGTTATATAAAAATCTGATAATATTACTTTTGTGAAGGATGTTTTGTGGAGGTCCGGTCAATCTGCACTACGTTTGAATATGCCACATAGATCAGTCATACCTGATAGACCCAAGGATGCATGCAGAATATATGGATCATTGACACTCAATAAAGTAAAAACTATTTATTAAAACAATCAATAATCATTTAAAATAATAAATTTTGAATATTATTAGTAATTAGTTATGGAGTGTATTCAATATGAAATTTAATTTAATTTAATTAATTCCATTTACCATAATTCTATGGATTTTGACATATAGAGTTCATATGAATCATAGATATGGTATTGACAATTCTGTCTTTCTTCATGTTCTACATTTAATCATATTAATACATTTTATTTTTTTCAAAATAATATATGTGGATGCAAATTTTAATCTTTGTTCTTGTTTCACAAATGTCAGCATCAATTTGAGAAGATCAGAAATTGTTTTTTATTTCCAATTACATTTCACACGAGGATCGCTGTACTGTAATTATAAGCTAAGAGTGATCACCTTTTTGATTTTTTCTTGAAAACTCACTCAACTTTAGAAAATTGTTAAAGTAAAATTATCATAACTACAATTTTTTTTTTTAAACGATTTATGGTTGGCAAATGCTACTTTATATATAACTATGAAATTTAATTGAGATAAATTAATAAAGATTTCTTTCTGTAGGTAGCTGGTAATTTTCACATTACTGCAGGGAAAAGCTTACACCTACCGATGGGTCATGTTCATATAAGTGGATTTATGTCCGAAGCCGACAGTAATTTTACACATAGGATACACAGGTTAAGTTTTGGAGATGATAGTCCTGGAATAATTCACCCTATGGAAGGTGATGAAAAAATTACTGCAAATTGTAAGTTAGGTTCTGTTTTTATCATGTTATTCTACTACTGCATATTCAGATACAAATATATATGAATAATAATGCTCTAAAAATAATTTTTAGCTATGATGTTGTATCAGTATTTTATTGAGGTTGTTCCAACAGATGTTGAGACATTTTTGGGGACTACACAAAGTTGCCAATATTCCGTTAAAGAACTTTCTAGACCTATAGGTAATTTTCAATATATATTTTAAATTGTTATTTATTATTTAAAAAAAATCCTATTAAAATATTTTTTTAAATTGTTTAGTTTCTAATTAATCTAATGTTTAAACTTCTATATTTGTGCAGTATAGAGTTGCTTCATTAATATTTTAGGGCCTAAAATTATTATAAAACATACTAATATTAATTAAATTTTTTAATCAAATGGGAAAGACCATAAAGTTGTCTTAATTTTCATCCTTTATAAAAGTTATCAATGTATTTAATATATCTAATATATTTGAAAAAAAAAGCCCAAGTAGAATTGAATTCATTCCAAAATCCTAGTTATACCTTTATTTATATTAAGTGAAAGCATAACTATTCTTAGGAATATCTCTTGGCATTTTGAAGTTAAAATATTATCATTAAGATCACATATCATGGGATCTATGTATCTATTATTGGTGTTTTTGCCTTTTATTGCAGATCATGCTTCAGGTTCTCATGGTATAGCAGGTATATTTGTAAAATATGATATGTCTGCTTTGAAAGTTAAAGTACAACAAGAAAGAGATAGTTTGCCTAAACTATTAACAAGGCTATGTGCAACAATTGCAGGGATACATATCACAATGGGTAAGTAATAATCATTCAAAAAGATTATGAACTATCTCATATGACTATTTTCCATTCTGCAGAAAAAAGAAATAATAACCAAACAAAGTTTCATTTTGTTGTTATGTCTCATTTTGACATCATATTGTCAACTTTTGTGGTTTTAAAAAGTTTCAATCACACATAGATTGGATTTCCTAATTATTTTGATAATGCATTTTTGTTCCCTAAATTATATATATAATTTTGAATAGTCTTGAATTTGATGTTGATATAATTTATTTGAGTTTAAAGATCGGGAGTTGCAAAATCTATATGTTTCGACTAACATCATAGCTTTCATTCAGTGGAATATTTTTTCAATTACAATCATTAAACTAAGTACATAAGTTCAAGAGAAAAAAAAATAGTAATAATAAACTAATCTGAAACACATACAATTTGGTATCTTTAATTAATGAAACACTATTGCATCATGGTATCAAGATGGTTGCGCTGTTGTAAAAATTATATATTTTAGCATCACAATAAAACACACAAATAGGCATGTATAAATAAATATAATAAATAACTAATAAATATTATACATGTTTATTTGTGTATTTTGTTGCAATGTACAATATATAGTTTTTACAATAGTTCACATATTAATACCACAGTCCAATCGATCACATAAGGATATTAATGCTTTCATCTCCTTAGGTATATGCTTGGTAGGACTTTCACCATAATTTCCTCTAATTAGTCAATTAATAAATTTCAGTATTCTCTATTAGCTCATTTCAAGCTACAGAAGTATTATTATGTCATTAAAAAGTTGGTTCACATATTTTTTTTCTTAATTTTAGGACTGATAAACAGCCTGATGCATAGTATATATGATTTTATTTGTTGTAAGAAAGGTGTTACAAATGATATTAAAAAATCAAAGAGTGATGCAAAGAGTCCTCAAGTTGATTTATTCAATTCTGCGAATCTCATAAATCTGTAAAAAAATTATTTATCTACAAAATAATGTTCCAAAAAACTACGGCGTTATGCGAATCCGTTATATACGGGCCAAAGGACTAATGAAAAAAGAGATGTTATGTTCCAAGGATTCACAAAAACATGCTACATCTTATAATTTTATAATAAATATTATATACATTAATTTTTTTTAAGAAGTTATACACATTAAATATTTTTTTCGTCATAACTAACAAGTGCTATCCAATGAGATCGTTTTCTTTTTGGCAAAAAATATACATTGGTACTCCGCCTTACGAGCTTAATTCGTTCCGCAAGCACGCCCGAATGTCGAATTGTACGTACTTCGAAGCAAATTTATCCATATAAATACATTGAAATGCAATTAATTTGTTCCACCACAGTGTTTTTAATAATAATAACATTTATTGCCAACATCAAATACATACTCTGCAGAAACATATCAAATGTCTAAATAAAAAATGACTAAATTTTTATGATTCTAGTTTTTGAGTTTAAAACAACTATCCATTGAGCATAATTTTTTTTCCAACTTATTTCAACTCAGCTGCAACTTTTTGGGGGTAATTTTTATCCACAAACTTTTCAACTTTGTCCCACATTGCACGAACAAATGCATGACATTAAAATTAATGAATTGATTTTTTCAACTTCAAAATAATTTACTTTTAATATTTGTATGATCCATAAAAATACTTGTTACAAGAACGTTCTCACTCGCACGTTTTCGAATACGCTAGGAGAAATTCGCTGCTTTGTGATACAAGCGGCATCGCTTCTTTGGCGGCTCGCTCATATCACGAATTTTGCTCGTATAAAGAAGCAAATAAGCCGCGCCTTCGGCGGCTCGTATCTCAGACAACACCTACTTTGAAGGTTGTTCATTTAGGAAATATGACTAACTGTTCGGATAAGTCTAGATCTATTGTTCGATAGAACGTACGCGCTCGAATAAAAATGTTAAATATGTTATCTTATGCACTAGTTTCTTCAAATTTATTGAGCTATTGTATGGCGATGTTACTAATTTTATTTTAGTTAAAGTTTAGTTTTTATAGGTTTACTATATTTTTTATTTTATTAGAGTTTTGCTCAATTTTCACACAATATTATAGCAATCCTGTGCTTTAAAAGTACTGTGTTATAAAGGGGATGATCTCAATTCTCGAATGGTGTTATAGCGAGTCCGTGTTATGCGGGGTTTACCTGTATATATATATATATATATATATATATATATATATATATATATTTTTGAATAGTCTTGAATTTGATGTTGATATATATGTTTAATTTGAGTTTAATAATCGGGCGTAACATCAATAAAAATTATAATTGTAAATTATAATAAAATTTTTATTGATGTTACGCCCGATTATTAAACTCAAATTAAACATATATATATATATATATATATATATATATATATATATATATATCTTGGTAGTTTTTTGGCGTTGAAACATATCTGAAAACAATTAGCAGCCCGTTCGTCGAAATAAAAAATGCAGTTGAAAAAGAAATTTAAAGAAATTTTTTTAAAATATATATATATATATATATATATATATATGTATATAAATATATTTATATATATATATATATATATATATATATATATATTTAATATTGTTTTGTGTTTTGTGCTTTTGTTCTGGTGGTATGTATAGTTCTTCTCTCTTTATATATTTGTTTTTAATTCCTTTTATTCTATCATTGTATTGTATTTTAGATTACTGAATGATGACACACATCAAGTGTCAAAACATATAATAATAAAGGAAATTATTTTTTCTTAACTATATTTTTTATTTCGACGAATGGTTGCTAATTATTTTCAAATATCTGTCTATATATATATATATATATATATATATATATATATATCCTGAAATAAGTATATATTCAAATATGCTTTCGTAAATGTTATTTTAAGAACATAAAGATTTTTTATGTTCATGAGCAGGAATATTTTTTTAAAGTATAGTCATGTTGAATCATAGATATTATATATGCATATTTAAAATAATACTATTTAATGATATTTTGTATTTAGAATATTTTATACTTTTGTAATAATAATCTATAATTTTGTAAATATGGGTTATATACTCCTTTATTATACATTAGATCAATTTTTATTTATACTGTCGAAGTGTTTATATATATATATATATATATATATATATATGATAAAAAATTGTTTCTTGGGCATCCATCCAATAATTAAAAAAACAGTTTTAATGCGAAATGTTTTAAGTAAGAGAACATACGTTTCGGGTCCAGATTTGACCCATCTTCAGTGCATACAAATAAATTTTAAAAAAATATAACACAAAGAACACAAAAATGCAACGAAAAAATAAGTATGAAATAAAAAATTGAAAAAACATCAAGTTATGAAAATTTTTGAAAATTGTAAAAACTAAAATAAATAATATGTTTTATTGTAAAAAAGCTTATTACAAAAACACATCTTGTTAGTTTGGAGACAGAATCACCATCTGAAGAAAAACCTCTCGCTTTATATATATATATATATATATATATATATATATATATATAAGATGAATGAATTAAGAATAAATAAATTTGATGTTGAAATGTATGATTAAATTTTTGGAAGGCGTAACATCAAGTGAATAAGAATGAAAAATTTTTTAAAACGTTTTTATTACTCCATACTTTTTGACATAAATTTACAATTTTAATAGTAAAGAGAAAAAAACAAAATTAAAAATTAAATGTAAACAACAAAAATTAAATATAAGTAAATGAAAAGCTTAATTATTAATACATGCTTGTACAAATATATTTATATATACACATACACATACAATATATGCAAACATGCATAAACATATAATTATTATATCAATATCTATTTATATACATGTATATATGTATATTTGTATGTACACATCTATATATGCATATATATATGTATATATATATATATATATATATATATGTAGAGGCAGGTCTTTGAAATTTTCATGTGAGATTTTCAATTTTCCTCTTACATTTATATGTATACTTTGAACGGAGATATGTATTAATCGTATACGATGCCCAGTCATATATATATATATATATATATATATATATATTGTTGTTTCAATAATATAAATAAGGTAAAGATTTTTAAAACATCTTTATTTTTCCATATGTTTTGGCGTAAAATTCTACGTCATTGTCAGTGGTTTTGGAATTCTTAGATTATCACTTACACATATTAATACAGCTTGTAAAAAATTAATAATTGGAAACAAGCACCAAATGTCAGTAATTTCTTTTTCATAAAGAATAAAAAATAATTAATAAATAGAATATTATACGTAAGCACTCGTGTTTCGAGGCAGGTCAAACAAGAAGAAATATATATATATATATATATATATATATATATATATATAATTTTTAATTAGTTTTATAAATATTTAATTTAATTAAATATCCTATAGGTTTTTTTTTATTATTTATGTATATATATATAACATGTATAATATACATTGTATATATATATATATATATATATATATATATATATATATATGTAATATTTTCCATTTACTTTTAATTCTGATGATGTTGCAACTCTTATATGTATATATGCTTCGGTTAAAAACCAGTTGAATCTTATTTCAAAGTATATATCATACGGTTTAAATATAATTTTTAAATTATTTTATTCGTGTTATGAGATGAAGTAAACGCATATTTGTACAAGTTGAAAAACCTCGACTAGCTATATTTGATTCTCTGGTTTCCAGCCGTTAATGTTTACATTCCACGTATTTGTGGTACTCTTAAATTATAATAGATTGTGATATTACACTTTTAAATTAAAATATTATGATGACTATTTTTTGAATAAAATTTGAAAATACATGAAATGTTTAACTATTTTTATTGGAAATGCGCAATAAATTTTTATAGTTTTTTCAATATGATGATGTGATCATAACTGCATTTGTTTTGTAGCGTAAATCATGATGTGATCCAAACAGAAGGAAAAACTATTTCGCAATCGGAAAGTTAGAAATAACGATCGTTATTTATAAAAATGTCTCAGAGTATTTGCCACCAAGATTTGTAAGAAGTGAGAGCGAGGAATTACATGTACGGAAATAGGGAGTTATCGGCCTTCATAGGAGGAACCATCAACTGAATCAGACTGAAATTGAATGTCACTGCTACTTTTAGACTCGAAAATCGAACGCGGTATATTGTCGTTACAAACAATAATATATAATAATAATAATAATAAAAATAATATATATACTAATATATATACATATATATATATATATATATATATATATATATATATACTAATATATATGTATTTGTATATATATGCATATACATACAAATATATAAATAAATTAATATATATATATATATATATATATATATATAAATTGAGAGGTTTTTTGAGATGTTGAAATATTATAATAAATTTGTTCTTGTGCGTCCATCCATTAATTGAAAATATTTTATTGAAGTAAAATGTTTTATTGCCAAACGTTTCGGGTCCTGATTTGACTCATCTTCAGTGCATACAAATAATTTGAAGAAAAAACAAAAAATCCGGAAAATATAATGCACCAATTACTATACAATTTTCAAAGCACGAATTTTAAAAACTATTAAATTAAAATAAATATCAAATTAAAATAAAATAAAGGAAAAGTTTTTTTAAAAAAAAGAACTCTTCTCATCGAGACATGTTATATGTTTGGGAAAAATTTTAATAGTCTTTTAAAACTATTAAAGCTACAAAATTTTCGTTGACGATTTCTGGAACACGGATCAACTGATTTGAATAATTCAAGGAGCATTCGATTTCCATTGATAAGGAGACGTGCTGAGTTATTTGGTAAAGGCAGCCGTTTTGAAGATACTAGGCAAAAAGAGCTAAAAATGGTAACTCAGTTTTTGATAGAACGAAGCGTCCGAATTAATAATAATTTAAAAAACATTTTATTTGTATTGATAAAATGAAGTACCGTTTAAATTTTTGCGGGGGCTGGTCTAGCGGTTTTAGAGGTCGAGTGAAAAAAGTGAAAAAAAAGCTGTTTAGCGGTAAAAAATGATGCACATCAAATTATCAGATTGTTTATAGAGGTTTTAATAATTTTTAATAATTTTTTCTATCTTCTGAAAAAGCTGTTGATTACTAGTTTAGACATTTTGAATGAATCGAGTGATTTTTTGTACAATCATCTTTTAGTGCAATCAGTTCTCGGGAATCTTTTAGTGCTTCCCCAGGTTTTCCGATAAGGGTCATTCTTTTACAAATCGGGCGGATTTTGGTAAAAAAAAATGTGACATTTTAGAATTGGCTGAAATTTTTTTTATAGATATTATAGATAAAATCATTTGACACGTATTTCAGGATTTTGCCGGCAAAAATTTTTTTTCGTTGATATTTACGATTGAAATATTGCCGATTTTCTCAATTTTTATGATCTTCCTTTGCATTATGTTAATTATCTTCAGTTGTGTTCATCAGATCAGTATTGTTTTTTGTTATTATATTCATTATGAACTCAACTTTGAAGTAATATAAAAAAAATAATGTTTTTGCAATTATTTTAACAGTAATAACAATTGATTGTTAACATTGGTTTTACATACGGGCGCCCCAACTTAAATCGATTGCGTAAAAAACCATATTGTTTCTTTTTTTATCTACTTAAAAATTATTTTTACAATTCGATGGAATGGCTGTTACATCGGAAGATATTAAATGTTTTCGAGGGAAAGTCGCGTCGCGCGTCCGTTTGAAAGGCGCATAGCGCGTATTAAATGAGTACAAGTACTATTTTTAACTAAAATATTTTACAATTTCGTTACTGAGGAAAAATAAATATATTATCTAAAATATGTAGTAGTATTTAATTGTTATTTTGGAAAGTGCTCCCAGTGTCCTGGCCTAGAAAATTTGATCACAGAATTAGAAAATATTTTTGAGGAAAATTATATTGACAAAATTAGGTGCAGAGAGTGGACTAATGTTGATAAAACTATGTTGCAATTAATGATATAGTATAAAAATAAAAAGAATTTTGTAAATCTTACTTGCCACGAAAAAGATTTTGGTCTGGTTGCAGAGTGGCACTTTTTCTCAACGTCACATGGTAAGGGCGCTTGCGATGGATTGGGTGGAACTTTGAAAAGGCTAGCTGCCAGAGCTAGCCTATTATAATGCAATAAATTAATTATTTTTTAATCGCATTCTCTTGTATTTATTTTTTAACGAAATCAAACCTACCCAATACAATTAATTTAACTTTTGTTATTATTCCAACGAATAATAAGTTTTAGTTTTCCAGTTTCAAAAATATGAGCATTTTGTATAAAATATTTGCTACTACATATTTTAGATAATATTTTTATTTTTCCTCAGTAACGAATTGTAAAATATTTTAGTTAAAAATAGTACTTGTACTCATTTAATACGCGCTATGCGCCTTCCAAACGGACGCGCGGCGCGACTTTCCCTCGAAAACCGTTAATATCTTCCGATGTAACAGCCATTCCATCGAATTGTAAAAATAATTTTTAAGTAGATAAAAAAAGAAACAATATGGTTTTTTACGCAATCGATTTAAGTTGGGGCGCCCGTATGTAAAACCAATGTTAACAATCAATTGTTATTACTGTTAAAATAATTGCAAAAACATTATTTTTTTTATATTACTTCAAAGTTGAGTTCATAATGAATATAATAACAAAAAACAATACTGATTTGATGAACACAACTGAAGATAATTAACATAATGCAAAGAAAGATCATAAAAATTGAGAAAATCGGCAATATTTCAATCGTAAATATCAACGAAAAAAAATTTTTGCCGGCAAAATCCTGAAATACGTGTCAAATGATTTTATCTATAATATCTATAAAAAAAATTTCAGCCAATTCTAAAATGTCGAGGTATGGTTGGTGCCCGGTTTGTAAAAGAATGACCCATAAACGAATGTGTTTTTCCCCATTGCTGCATGGCAGTACGAATGTAGTCGTTATCAAAACAACAGCTTTGACGGCGGCATATGGTGACTTTCTTCTTTCGTCAAACCACCATCGGCTTACTTTGACGAAAAATTGGGGAGTGCATGGCATCGTGCCATAAGGCAAATTGCAGAAACTTTCCGTACCGTGATAAAAAATCTTGATACGAGACCCAAAAAAAGTTACACAAAATGTGTACACATTATTATAATCTCTATAAAATAATCTCTCTGAAACGTAAAAATATATAAAAATTTTCATTTTCCATTTTTTTGCGATTACTATAACTTACCCTACGGGAAGTTAATAAATACATATACATATTATCTCACTACTTTAACTATATTTGTTCATACAAAACACTATAGGTATTCGTTGACGAAAAAATAATTACACGTGATATCGAACTATACCCTCCCTTTCCCCTTGTATTTTGTTTTCTTTTCCAATTTTTTCCCTTCTTTTCCAGTTTATGTGATTAATGGACGCCTCTATAACTGCGGTTTTCGTTCATAGCAACCAACTCCAATTCTAAATATTATTTTATGTATATACGCACATTTTCCAAAGCATAGTTAAAATATTTATTTGTTTATTAACTTTTCAGTTTGCTTTAGTAACATTATTTAGTAAAATTTAAAAGTATAAATATTTGTCAAATTTATTTACAAAATCATTAAATTAAATGGTTATTCAATAGAAAAATAATCAATAATTTTCCCGAGTGTGATATCGTCCAAATAATTGATCAATGCAGAGACCTACGTTACTTTTTTTTGCATTCGTATCTTGTTTCTTTCTCCTTTTTCCATTTTGAACACACAACACATTTTCGCTTTTATTTTAAAGTCCTTCAGGAGTGAACCATTGCGATATAAAATGCCTTTCTATTATTCGCAATGGTAAATTGTCGGCGTCTTTCGTTATAAACTGTTTGATTTATCATATTTTGTGGGTATCTTCGTAGCATTTCTTTTACACATAAAAAAATAAATTTGCTGATTTTTTCTTTTTCCTTATATATATATATATATATATATATATATATATATATATATATATACAGTGGTACTCCGCTTTACGAGCGACTCGTCATACGAGTGTTTCGAGATACGAGCCGCGAATGTGGAGTGTTGTTCGTGCAATGTGGAACAAAATGAAAACTTTGTGGATAAAAATCACCCCGGGAAAGATGCAACTGATCGAGCATCACAATTGTTTGACGAAACTTGTCTATCTCATTTTCGCAATACTATAATAATTTTAAGAGAAAAACTAGTAGGGTGCATGGCATCGTGCCTTAAGGCAAATTGCTGGAACTTCCCGTATCGTAACAAAATGTTCGAGGAATATTAAATATTTTCAAATAGATTATTGTAAATACTGTAACATTGTCTAATATTTATAAGAATTATATAAACAAAATTGCAAAGTTGAAATTATTTGTTTAAAGTATATTAGAACTTTAGTCAGAATTAAAATTAAAATCTGAATTATTTTCAATATACAAAAAAAAAAAAAATTTTTTTAAAAAATTTGAAAAAAATTTTGAAACAAATTTTTTTTCCGAAAGCAATTATTTTGTTGAAACAAGCAGAAAGTTCTTTGAATCATTCAAATCGGACGCTTAGTTCTCTCAAAAACTGCCATTTTTTGTACATTTAGCTCTTTATCTTCGAAATGGCTGAACCTGCCCTTGCCAAAAAGTAAACATTCTCTTCCAAATCATAACAAATTCAATGTTTTTTAAATCATTCAAATCGGATACTCCGTTCTCTCAAAAACTCGATTTGTATTTTCTGCACTCTTTGTTCCGTATCTTCGTAATAGCTGGACCTGCCTTTGCCAAAAAGAAATCAGCACATCTCGCTATCAATAGAATCGAATGTTTTTTGAACCATTCAAATGCACACATGCAAAACACACACACACATCCATTTTTTCTGAAAATGAGGTATGTCAAAATGTTCAGAAACCTTCAAAACGTCGAAAAATGCAAAAAGTTTCATTTTCGATTTTCGGCCCATTACTATAACTACCCTACGGGAAGTTAATAATGCTCATTGGATAGATTTTTGAAAATATTAGTTGGAAAATTGAATATTGGTAAAGATCAGCCGAACTGTTTTTTCGTTATTTTTTTAAAAAATATTTTTGTAGCAATTAAAATTATTTTTTCAGGCATCTTGAAATTTTAGGTAAGTGTAATCAATTGATTGAATTGATATTTAGATACGTTTTAAATAAAATTTGCAACTTTAAGGCAACTTGCTCCTTACTTACAAGTAGTTTTATATAAGCTTGCACATTGTTAATTTAAACTTGACAGCATCAATATGAAGTAATTAAAAATCACTTTATAACGGCGCATAAATGAATGAATAATTTTCATTGTTGCGAACGCTGCCGTGGGCTCTTTGACTATGAGGTGTACGAATTACCACATGATGTTGCGAATTATCAAATATTGTTTCCAGCTCAAGTCATATCTGTTAAACGGTCCGCCGTGCCCGCATCGGACTTTCAGTTCGCAGGCTGACGCGAGAAAATCAACTTGTGTCACGGCAACTGGGACAGTATCACCTATGAAAAATGAATTTGGAAAAGTTGTTTGTGGTGATCCTGTGTCTGTGCTTGGTTGAAAGTTCAATTTGTGCCACTGTCATCTCAAAAGATGATCAGGATTTATATGAGCTATCTATCATACATCTGAATGATTTTCACGCCAGGTATTTTCATAATTAAATTGACTATGACGTACGTATTTGCCGAATTGTTTATATTATTTCTAACCTACAATTAGACAATTGCTTGTATTTGAATAAAATTATATAAAACATACGTTAGCGTCCTAAAGTCTTAAAACTGCAATAGTTTATTAGTGAGAAATAGAAGTGCATGCTTTTAGGATAATTCTTAAGTACCCAGAATAATAAATAAAAAAATATTAAATCTAGTTTAAAATCATTTTCTTCAATTATTGAATAGTGAACTTATTTTAATTTAATTCTTATTTATTTATATTTTTGTTATTTGAGCTCTAGATATTATAAATATTGCAAATAATGAATAATTATGACCATCAAAATTCAAATTTTTATAAAACATATTTCACGTAGTAGGTGCTTTTTTGTATAAAAAATTGAGATTAGACGGCTTTCTCTATCCAATTTGTTATCTAGTACGACAAGATTATTACATTTGTAACTATTGGGTTATCATTGACTAAATATTTGTTTTTTTTAAATTTTTTTTTTAAATTTTGTGTAATTATTTGAATACAGCAAAAAGTTTATTTAATAATTATCAATTGCTTACCATTGTCAATTTACGTTATGTTTTTAAATGCCAGATGGGTTTTTTTTATCACAAGGCGATAATTATATCTGAAGTAGTTACACATGTACTTTAATAAAAATAGATAGTAACTACTTCAGATATAATTATCGCAAAGAAAAATGTTTATTTATTTGCATGCATTTTGCATTGCAATTTTTTTACATTATTCAAAGTGGAGGTGTATGTGCACCAAAACAATTAAAAAATTAATTTTGTTAATTAGCAATAAATAAAACTTAAATTTTTGTAATTGAATATATTTGATTATGTATCCTTCAATAAAATTAAAAGATTCTTAACTATATTTAACTGTGGGATGGTGTAAATTATGCGAAATTATGTTTTTTCAAAAACGTCAAAATATATTACGGAGATTCATTCCGTAAATAAATTCATTAATTTCATAGTAATCGGAAAATTGTGATAATCATCTAATATAATAGAGCTTATTTGTACAGTTGGCATGTGATTATTATTTGCAGCGGCTTAAGGATTTTATAATTACATGTAACTAACGGGAAATATATTTAGGGTACAATTAACATATTGTTGAGCGTATGGGTAGTCACCAGTTTAAACCTTTAGGAATATATACAGGTGCCTAGACAGTATCTAATTCATCAACAGAAATTTACAACTCGAGTATGAGGTTCCAAATTGACTTTAACCATAACTTTACAGCAGTTTTACCGGAGCAATACCGAATTTTATAAATACCAATACCAAGTACCACGTTTTTTGCATTACATTGATAAGAACTGAAAAGCCAATGCATATTAGTTAATATTCTGTTTTTATTAGATTCGATATTATTATCTATGGTATTATTATTACCTAATTTCTGAACCCACTTTTAAGAAAAAAAGGTATAGTGGGTCAGTCTTTATCTGGATTTTATCCTTAAATAAATTATTATCGAATTAGATTTTTATTTATTATTAGAAGAAGGAAAGGCAAGGATATGTCTCTTAAAGCATGACCAAGGCATGAGAACGTAATTTTTATTTTCTATTTTCATTCTATCATTTTGCGTAAACTATTCTACGAAAAGTCGCACTTTAATTAATTATAGCAAAAGGACTATCGTATGTTCTTCTTTTTTCTATGTTTTTTATTACTGAACTTTATAGTTTCATGCGTCATAGATAAATATAATGACATTATTAATATCGTGCTTTTTGATTAATCGTTCAATCAATCATCAAAATTAAATGGATTTATTTGACAGTGAGTTAACAAAGAGATTATTTTTGAATTAAATGTATTTCAGATGTTTCACTGCGCTGTCTTTTTCAGATAACTTTTTTTATCAATTTGTTTTTATATTAATTGTCAATAGTTTTTCAAGAATGTGCTCATCATTTCAAGTGGAGTAATACACCTCCGAAGGTCGTGTGCAATTCGTGATTTCTCTAATATAGATAATATCGCGACACAAACATGTAAAATATAATTAAAATCATGTAATGGTGCTCACACTGATATAGTATTTTTTTATAAATTCAATAGTAGTTGATGTTGTACTTCAAGTTATGAATAGCGTATTAGAGCTGCTTATACGAATTATATTAGTATAAAGCAGTAATAATGGTACAGAAGTTCTCTCAATAATAAAAAATATCTCATTTTAATCTATATACGACTATAATGCATTTTTATACTGTTGACTTATTTAAAAATGGGAAAATCATTTTTGCTCCATAGAAATAAAATATATGAAAAGTTTTATAAAGCTTCATCGAAACATTGCATTCAAATTGACTAGCATTCAAACAATTGCCATGTTTCGATGAAAAGTATTCTTATAAATCTTTTTATTTATTTTATTTTAATATTGAATTAAATTTTTTTCTTGATTTAACTATGATTAAATTAATTAGTGTTCGCATTTTTGTGCAAGACTCGAAACGTTTGCTACTACAATAAAGATATTTTTCTCAATTAAGTTCTATTAATTATCGGATGGATACCCAAAAACACTTCATCATATATCTTTCACCATCTGACAAAAACCTCACGATATATATATATATATATATATATATATATATATATATATATGAACCATACAACACTCAGATTTTTAACACACACTTTATTTACCAAATAAAATAACCAAGTATTGGGTCAAATTTTGTTTCCTATTTTGGCTCATTTAGAGCGTCCCAATAGCGTCCAAAAGTATGACCGAACCCCATTAACTTTGGAAGGCCGAAGGCCGAAGACTTTGCCTTTTGCATGAGGGACCTCCCCTTAGAAGTTTTATTATTATTTATTTTTATTATAAAATTTATTTAATCATAACATATGTAAATAAAACTATGTAAAACTTATAAATTATTGCTTGAAGTTTTTATCGGCTTCAAGTCTGGAAAATTTCGCACGCCTCTCTAATGTCGTCACCATGACAGCCTCTAGTTAGCATAGAAACGCAAAGACAAAATGCATTGGAAAAGTTTAAATAAAAAATTTTAAGAATTTTTTTTCGTGAAAAAGTTTTGTGTGTATGTATGAATTAATATCCGAAAAAATGGTTTAAAAAAACATTTTTTGCTGGGAAAAATACCAAAAACGATGATTATTTGCAATTTATAAGAGACCTTAAGAGAAGGTCCGAATGGTTGAACGATGGGCATGGGTGGATCGGCCTTTCGAAGTTAGTGGGGGTCGGTCATACATTTAGACATTTTAGAGGTATGGTTTTTTCAGCAAAGTATCTTATTTTGATCCCCTGTATCTTAGTATCTTATTCTGATCATATGTGCCTACGCGGCTTTTAAATCGAATCTAAAATATGTTGTTTGGTCATATTCCTAAATTAATATATATATATATATATATATATATATATATATATATATATCAGTGTGTAATATATATATTAATTCAGGAATATGAACAAACAACATATTTTAGATTTTAAATTTTAACACACTGATGATGAGACAAACCTAGTCTTGAAACGTTTGTAAAATTATTATTTAATAAATTAGTGCAAAAAAGAGTGTTGTTTGTTCATATTTTTAAATTAATATCTATCCACTCAGAATACATTTGTTATATATATATATATATATATATATATATATATATGTGTATATATATATATATATATATATTAAATTATATGCATATAATTATTATTATTTTATAGAATTACTGAACATTTTACAAACAATCTTTAAGAAACATATTATGTTCATGAGGCTTTAATGTAAAGATATATTTCTTATAAAAAAATATTATTAAAACTGAAGCAATTTTAATAATTAAACTTTTACCTATGGGTTCATACTCTATGTATGTTGTTAAAAAGACTGATCTTTGGTGTATATTTAATAGTAAATTTTAATTTTACTCAGATTTGAAGAGATAACACCTCAATCAACAGCTTGTAATAATAAAGAAGAATGTATCGGTGGAATAGCGCGTGTCTATACCGAAGTAAAGCGTCTGCAAAATGAAAGGACAAATCCAATTTTCTTGAACGCAGGCGACAATTTTCAGGGCACTCTTTGGTACAACATACATCGATGGAATGTCACGCAGTACTTTTTAAATAAATTTAAGACTGATGCTGTGGTGAGTTTATGTAAATGATACTCTTCCTTAATAAGTTATTAACTAGACATGAACTCATGTTCTTACATAGTGTTTGAACGTGACAGAGACGGATCGAATTATAGATCAAGTTTACTTACTATTCAGTTTATATTTTTAATCAACTGTTTGAATCATAAAGTAGAATGACATAAAAAGAAAATTTTGATAAACCATTCATGTTGATAATATTTATATAGAGTAAACTATTCAATAGGTTCACAACCTAATTATAATAAATGTATAAGCTTTTCATTTTCTTAATTACGTTCGTCTACTACAAATTTAACAAAAAGCACAAGTAATATGTTTATTACCGAAAACTTTTTGCAGCTAATTTGATCAATGGCATCTATGTTTGTTGATCAACAATTTTTCGATTGATTGACATTTATAAAACTACATAAATAAATGCTATTAACACTAAACCTACCGACAATTCATGTATAACTATACCTACCGCGCGCGGTCAAATTGATCTACAATTAAAAAGTTATCTATTTTGTTATTTAATTCAGATAATAATAGATATTATGATAGATATAAGATATTATAATAAAAAAGAAATAAAATTAAATATTTATACAGAATGACATATGCCTACATAATATACTTCATTCGGCTTTCTCACATTGTTTATCAATTATTTTAGTCTAAAATATACATTTGGCGTAAATATATTTGTTGTTTCGTAACTTTCACAAAATTTCATTTGACAAGCTTTCGTCCACAAAGCCGATCGAGTTAAAAAATTAACTAAAATAAAATTTGTGCCTAGAAATGCTTTTACTCGTGGTCTCTCTATACACAATTTACGCATTTATCCAGCTAGGATCAAAATGTTGAAATATAGTTAAAGTTGCCTGCAAATTTTCGACTTCATGTTACATTTCGTAGTCATCTGCCACACTTTGACCAAACGATGTACACAAAATCTAATAGTTTTTTGTACACGTTTGTTGCTTTTCCTATTTCTATCGGATAATGTTTGAAACTTGGGACAAGCATTTTTTCGGTTTTTTTATACACCGCAAGAGTAATAAAATGTGAACTATACGAAATGCTTCAAAATCTTGTAATGAATTTATCAGTTTTAGAACAACACGTTATTTCACAAATAGGAAAACCCAATTATTATATATTTACTATTTACTAATTCATAACTTTATTCTAAATTTGTCCAATTTGTTTGGTATATTTTGTATAAATCTGCACCTACATTTCGACGGAAACAACTTCTCAAATAACATTATTTTCCACCGGTCAAATTGACCGACCGATTGATAGTTAGGTAGTTAGTTTTCGGAAAATAGAAAAAAATAACTAAAATCAAGGAGAGAAGAAATTATTATTAATATATTCTAAGAATTGTCACATAGTTTGATAATGGTATTTTAATGTTTTAAAAATATCCAAGTTATATATATATATATATATATATATATATTTCGATAGTTCAAGTTGTTTTTAGTTTATTTTCTAATTAAAGGAAATTAGGTAAAAATGATTTGTATACTACCTGAATTTAATAATATGCATAATTTTAGCTTATAACAACTTGTGATTCATAATTTTCAGACATTGGGTAATCATGAATTTGACCATAAGATTGAAGGTGTGGTTCCATTCATGGGTTCCATCGAAGCACCTATCGTAGTGTGCAACATTGATGACTCACAAGAACCAACATTTCAGGGCAAATACAAAAAGAGCATTGTTTTAGAGCGCCATGGAAGAAAAATTGGAGTTATTGGTGTCATTCTTGCCACCACTAATGTAAGTGGATTTATTTTTGTTTTTCCAACATCCGGAAACGGCATTATGAGTAAATTATAGATCAAATTTATTAGAAACGAGTTATTTAATTTGGAGATAATAATATGAAAGTTAAATTTCAATTTTCGGTTGTTTTTCTGTTATTGAAGCTTATCGAATTTTTCCAAAATATTTTTTTTTGAGATTTCTTTTCGTTTTATATGAAGGCTCTACAAAATATTTGTACCTGTCTTTTTGTTTTTGCAAGACTCTGTACTGATTTGAATGACTAAAATATAAGTAGAGGGTTCTGAATATAAAAAAGCGTAGTCATAAATTAAAATAAAAGTCAGGGAAACGTTTTGTTAACATTTTTTGAAATTGCACCGTTTGTATTATACTTTCAATTTTTTACATTATTTATCAGTACAATATTTAACTATTCTATAGTAATATTATTATTATTATCATGATTTATGTTTATAACAAAAACAAACATATTGTTTTTGTCGGTGTTTTTTCCCATAATTAACGTTTTTCCGTGTTTACAAAAATAACTGTATAACTAATCGAAATGTGGACTTCAGTTATTGCTATTATATTCATGAAGAATTATTTGTCAAGCATTTACTAATCTTTTGTTATGTTGAATATATAATTAGGCATTTGAATAAATGATTTATTATTAAAAAAGTAGGCCAATGTTACGACGATCAACGATTGGACCATGCAAGATTGACGTGTTTCATAATTTTGATAAGGAATATTTTATCACATCTAAATTGACAATAAAGTATAACTAAATGACAACTTAGAGGCTTTATTATGAATGTTTAATAAGCATTATTATATGTTTTTCTGAAGTAATTATTTGTTTGCAGTTATTATTTATTTTCCATGATTTTTTTCTTGATTTTTTAGAAAGTTTACGTAAATATTATGCGGAATTATCAAAAAGTCGAGCGAAGGACAAGATGAAATTATGCATTTAGCACTTCGACGGACTCTAAGTACTTTACTCAGTTAATTACTCGCTTATACATCAAGTTTTTATAGTACAATAATATATAATAACTCTCGTTCACTTACTTGGTATAATTTGAAAGTAATATGATGAATGTTCGTTGGTAGAACAAACAAGCGCACAAGATTTTTTTAGCATTTAATATTAGAAGTGCTTCAAATACATGTCTTACAAATAATCTAGGAGATTAACAAGTAATCTTAGAGTCATATATGCTTGATGACTTCTAATTAAAATGTAATTGTTTATATAATCTATATTGAGGATTTTTTGTTTGACGTTGAAACCTTTTGAATTGAATAAAACAGCCAATGCGTCGAATGAAGAAATATTTATTTTAAATTTTTATACGTTTCGAGACTAGATGTTTTCCAAAATTCAGCTAAAAGAAATTTACAATTAAGGAACTGAGCTCATTTCAAAAATTTAAGCTATTTGATGTAACTCCATAAGGACTGGCGTTGTTTAGTGGTGCGTGATGGTCGTCAAGCCATTTATAATTAGCAGAAATGTGTAAAATTTTTTGTTCGCGTCTTATTGATTTTTTTCAACGTTTTTGATCAAAATTTGTATGTTGATAGATTTTGTAGTTGAAATAACATACTAAAATTCAAATATACATACAAAGTATAAAATTTTGCCGCGAGATTAAGCAAAGTGTTTCGTAGGTAGCCACTGACTACAGTTGTCATAAACTTAAATAAAATACATTTTTAAAATTCGAAATAGATTATATGAAATGTAGTATCAATTTAATTTAATATATACGATTACAGATATTGTAAGTATGTATCAAAGACATCAGTTGAACATTTTGCCTAAATAGCTGAATCTCAATTCTTATTGATTAAGTTATATATATCTTAATGATTAAGTTATTATGTGAACGTATCGGGAAGTTAACTTATTTATTAACTTCCCGAAGAAGTTTATGTTTTCATAAAAAAATCCGATTTGCTAATTTTATATTTTCTCGACGTTTCAAGCCATTCTGAATCGAACGAGACCAAGTTTGAAAAAAGTATGTGTGTGCGTGTGAACAGTTTTTTTGCCGTAAATCGACGTTTTCTCAAAAACTGCTGAACATTTCAAAAATTTAAAAGCCATTCCATGTATCGCGATGAGGACTATCGTTCATCAGTTTTGTGCAACGATCGGCCATGCCGTTTCTTCATAAATAGCAGAGAAGTGAAAAAATTTTCGTCCACGTTTTAGCCCGCAGTTCAGAATCGATTTTGAAAATTCAAAAACCGTTCGAAAGATATTGGTCGGGAATCGTGCTGATGAGTTCTTGGTAGTGTTAAAAATTTTTTTTCGACGATTTTTATGATTTTTTTTTTTATGGTAGATACCATAGTCTTATAGATCATACTAAAATATTACGGACATTCGACAAGTCGTTCAATTTTAAAAATTCGTCAAACTTTGCAAAAATTAGAATCATTTTTTTTGGCGTTTGTCAAAGTCAGAACTTTCATCGACGATTGATTAAAAACGCCTGAACCGATTTCATAAATTTAAAAGCCAATCGATATATTTCGGTGTGGATTATCTTTTCTCAGTTTTGTGCAGCGATCGGCTAAGCCGTTTCTTTGTAATTTGGAAAAAAGTGTTAAACTTTTTTCCACATCTAAGCTTATACTACCGAATCGATTTTAAAAAATCAAAAACTGTTCGAAAGATATTTGTAGGGAATGATACTGATTAGTTTTAGGTGAAAATCTACCGAGCCGTTTTCTTGTAATTAACTATTGAAAAAAAAATTAAGCCGATTTTCATGAAACTTTTTTTGCCGATATATATCATGGTCTTATAGAACTTACTTAAATATTACGGCCTTACGACAAGTGGCGTAATCTTAAAAATTCATCAAGGTTTGAGTAAATGAGTAGTTCTTTTGACGTTTGTTAAAATTAAAATTAGACGATTTACTTGGTATAACGATAGAGTACGTGGTATTAATGAACATACTAAATAATTAAAGTCCTACAAAAAACTCAAATATAAAAATTATTGATTTTTGAAAATTTATTTTTAAAAAATACTTCGACCGAGTTGACGTGTTCGATTTACAATAATGTGTAATCCACTTCGAATACTTTTAACCACTCATAAAATAATTTATCTATCATGAATTAAGCCGATTATTTACACATATGAGGAAGTTTATGTAACTTGCCTTAAGGCAAAATACCAATACCGACTAGTTTATTTATTTATTCATTCATATATACACTTATCGGCAATGAACAGTAAATTTATAATATTACACTAATAACTTGAAAAACTATTAATATAAAATTTGAATACTAACATATAATATAATACACGTACACTTTGTGCGTAATACTTTGGTAACATAATCTAATAATTAATTGCACATATTATTTTATTAAATAGATGCACTTTATCGTATTATTTTTTTTGCTTTATATTGGAATCAAAAATGTTTTGACGAGTATCGAAATAGTTCAAATTGCCACAATACTCCTTGACTACTTTGGCTAATTTGTTTAAAGAACTGTTATGCACGTATTTTTTTGAGGACTTAGTTGTATTGACAATCTATTTGATAGAAGTCCTTGTCTAGGTGCGACAAATTCGATCTCTGCTAATAGTTCTGGTGATTCTATGATGCCATTCAAAATCTTGTAGAAAAAAAAAGATCCATGATTTTTCTCCGGGCTGTAAAATTATTACTTTTGCTTTAGTTTAAGATTAAGTTATTTATGTTAACCTAGCTTTTCATAGTATGCAAAGTTTGACACATATTTTTCGAATTTAATCTGCACCTTATACAGTCTATTAGTAATTGTTCTCAATATCACGGAGACCAAACTATCGAACAATAATCTAAAATAGATCTGATTAACGAAGAATAGAGACAGTAGAGTGTTTCGAGTTTTTATTTAGAAATTATTGCTACACCTAGTGATAAAGCTGAAAGTTTAAAAGGCTTGGAGAGTGATTTTATCTACATGTTCAGAAAAACAAAGTTTATTATCTATAGATCTTTTATTGTCATTACTGCGTTAAGATTCTGAGCTCCCAAAAAGGAAGTATAAATACAATAATTGTAGGATATGGAGAAGGTCATTACGGCACATGTGTTTGAATTTAATTTTAATTTAATTTGATCTTACGATATCTTCTGGCAGAGCTGTTACGTCGTCACTTATGATCTTTTCATAATTCTTCAAATCGTCTGCGTATGGCAAGTGATCGAAGTTTATACTTATGTCATTAATGAATATCACAAATAGATTAATGCAACTTGTCTTTAGACAAATGGTTACCTTCGACTAGTTATTCGCTGTGTTTTGTTTTATAAGTTTCTGTTTTAGCTATCTATTTGGCTGTTTCGTGATTTGTTGTGACTAGTTTATTTTTAAATTTGTACACACACCACCAACACTATTAACTCTCTATAGATTCTAGATTAAAATGACCTACCCTATGAGGGGTAGGAGGGTAGTAAGTAAGCTGGATTAAACTATATAAACAATTCGTGTAATATAGATGCAATGAAATTATTTTGAAATTTGTAGGAAATAGCCGCCACTGGAAAGTTGAGCTTTTTAGACGAACCGTCGAGCGTGGCCCGCGAAGCTGAGCGCCTAGTCCGCGATGAAGGCGTTAATATTGTGATTGTGTTGTCTCATTGTGGTTTGGACGTGGACAAGCGCATCGCCGCAGAAGGTGGCCCGAATATCGACATCATTGTGGGAGGACATTCCCATACTTTCATGTTTACTGGACCTAATCCTCCTGGCCCCGACAAGCCACTCGACGATTATCCCGCCGTCGTAGAAAATAATGGACATAAGGTTTGTGATATTTTATGGATATTACATGAAAAATCATGATTACTACATTAAACATTTGAATAGAACATACACATTGTATTGATTAATCGGATGTTTCTATAGACAGTATGTACTTTATGTTCCTTTTGTAATTTTTTAACGTATACTTTAATTTTTTTTATTCATTTATTATTGTACAGTAATCAGAATAGTAATTACATTCTATGACCTGCCATGCTAAAATATATAAACTAAAAAAAAGAATAACATAAATAAGAATAAATAAAGTAACAACATAAAGAGTAATTAATAATAATAATAATAGATAATAATAATAAATAATAAAATAATATAATAATACTACAAAAAATACATTAAATTAACTATCATATTTTGATGATTTACTAAAAAATATAGAAATTGTTCCATTAAACAATTTACTAGATTAGGATATTATTCATTGGTGATTTTCGCTCGAATATTCCAGAATGTGGTATCTCAAGCAGTTGTCCAACTATCAAATATGAGTATGAAAGTTTGATAGTAATAATCAAAATATTGGTGGGTCGGTCGACACAATTTACTGTTGGAAAGAGCTCACAAAATAAACACAAAATTTCAAGTTATTATACAGATACCAGTAGATCATTTTGATTGAATTCAAATTCATTCAATTTTGAAGGATTTTATTCTAAAGAAAAATATTTTTCAAAAGTCAACATTATTCTTTTTTTGAAAACCTGTACAAAAAATAATTGAAAAGTGTTTTGATACAAAGTTGGTTCCGTTATGCTTATACTCGTTTACATACCTTGTGATACATTTGAATCAATTAAATTAGAGATATTGTAACCTTAGTAGTGATAATTGTCTTAATTTTGTTCTTTTTTACTTGCGTCATGCCTCGAAGTATTTATACAATACCACGCCCACGTGTTTCTAATGAAAACTATTTGAATAATTATTCATATCAACTGTAAATATCGAACGTGAATTTGTTATCAGTGAAATGATCGAAAGCGAAAAGATCAATTAAATTTGTACGTGAACTCCTTAATCAATTAGTATTATAAGAATAATTACATAATTCTATCACTCTATTATCCGATATAATTAAATCCCACATATAAATTTTAAAGTTTTTAACGAGCAGCAGTTGAAATTGTGGTTATTTCATGTCAGATTTATAGTATATACTAAAAATATTTTAAACTTTGTTGAAATGCTGAACCTGAATCAATAGTTGTTAATATATAAATGCAATACAAATAACAAATAAGTCAATGATGAACAGGTTGCAATACTAATATACTATACTATACATAATAAACTGCGAATTATTTTTAAATTTGAATTTGGAAAATTGTCAAAAATATTTCTGTTAATTACGAATTATAAAATCGAGCAATTTTTATTTAATTTTCAAATCTGCATATCGCAATATATGCCGATGTGAATGTTTAGATCTAATAATAAATATTTTTCACTTACTTGTGAAGAAATCAATCTGAGTTTCTGTTGATTTATTTTAATTAAATATTTCCGATTTAACCATTTATTGCTGTAAACACCGATCGACTGATCAATGCGCAAAACTTATATATATATATATATATATATGTATATATATATATATGTATGTATATAATAGGTGAAGCCATTTTCAATTAATATAAATGAAAGGCATTCACATACGCACTGACATAATGTTTCCAATTTTTTTATCAAGCGATCCAAAAAACGTAAAAATGGCTAATTTTTTAACGAACTCGTAAACTTCTTCGGATAGTTAAGTACATCACCTGATACCTACAGCAAATTAAATCTGATTAATTATTTTAGGTATTAATAGTACAAGCATCTGCATTCACAAAATATTTAGGAGATATCGTGGTCTGGTTCGATGCTGATGGACATGTGCAGAAATGGAAGGGAGAGCCAATTTATGTGAAGAATAGCATTGTTCCAGGTATATGTTTCTATAGTTGAATTTAAATCTATAAAATATTAAATGAAATGTCAGGCGTTATTCAGATATTTTAGAACTATTTCTAACTAAATTCGGAGCTCATTTGTAATCAGTCTACTGCGCTCTTTTATATATCAATAGTACCGGTGGTTTTTAATTTTTTACATTTCTGAGAATAACCTGTAATGAAGTAAATTTTGAACTATATCAAGTGAAATAATCGGTGAATGATCTATAAGTAATCTGAAAATTTGATTTGTGTTTGCCATTTCTTCAATCAAGCAATTCAATTCAATTACATACACACGCGCACAAATATTGATTTTTGCTAAGCTATACCAAAAAGATCACAACTATTGTTTTCTAGACCCAACTATTTTGGATGAACTAAAGCCTTGGGCAGAATCTGTACATGAAGCAGGATCAGAATTGTTAGGAGTCACCAGGGTTCCCTTAAAAAGAGATATTTGTGGAATCGGTGAATGCAACATTGGAAGCTTTGTAACAGATGCTTACGTCCATGGTGTAAGATATTTTTATATTTATGTCATATTTTTATGAAGGTGGTGGTCAAATAAACACTATCTTTGGAATAGTCTGTATTAAAAACGTATGTCTTATCAAGAAATACGTAGTATTTCTACGGTAGTTCTACAAATGGATGATATGCTATAGTTTTTGTTTTTTATAGTTTTTTGTGTGTATGCATGTGTGAGCAAATTTTTACTTTCGTTTTTTCTAAAATTAGCACGAAACTGTAAAATTCTCGTAGGGTAAGTTATATTAAGGAATACTAGGTACTGTTGAGCCACGGTACGGTAGTGACAGTCGTTATAACAGTTAAATTATACTGATTTTTATATGGGTTTCAAAGGGAAAAAGATGTAGCATGTTTGTTTGAATGTGAAATATTCAAACCATTTGTCAAGAATAACGAACGTATTTTTAAAAAATACTGAATAATTTGCAATAGTTTCTCACTTCAAAATGATCTACAGCAATTAGGTTGGTTTAGATCAGTTAGGTTGTTTATTTACAGAAGTCAGGATTACAGGAAGTTCATGCCTTAAGGCCACTTACAATTAGTTTATTTTTCAATTTTTGAATGCAAATTTTCATTTTTTCTTAAACTGTAATACCTGTAATTCAAAATTATGTATAAAACATATATTCGCGATACGATTAAATAATCCTTAAATTTTAGGAGTCTTTTACTCCGCCATTCGTCTATAATAAGTTAAATATTGAAGTTATAAATTATGTTTGGTAACAAAATACCTAAATGAAATCATTATAAAGTAATTTTATTATTGAATTAGTGTTCTATCTAAGTCCTAAAACAAGTTCAGGGGGGGTCATGACCCCCGTCACCTCCTTATACTTATTGTATACTACCAAATACTACCAACAAATTACATACAAATTAAATGTTTTTTGAATCATTCAAATCAATTGATACGTCCTCTTCCAAACGGTATTTTTTGCACTTTGTGCACTTTTTACCTTTGCCAAAAGCTAATCCACACGTCTCTCGATCAATCGTTTGCTTTTGAACCATTCAAATCGGTTGATCCGTACGCCCGAAATCGTCAACGAAAAATTTTATCCACGCATACCCAAACACATACACACACGGATATACACACACATTTTTTTTAAAGATATTCCAAAATGTTTAGAAATCTTTGACAAGTAAAGATATGCAAACATTTTTGTTTTTTATTTTTAATTTACGGAAGGTTAATATTCGTTAACTTATTAATAAGTTTCATTTTTATTTCTATTTCTACGGATTTCGTACCAAGATTTATAATGTTTAACCGTAAGAGACTCCACAATCGCTTCAAAAAATATTAAATTATCAAAAAAATTCAAAATTATCAAACATGTTAAGGGGTTAGGGGTACATACAGAAATTCGAATTATTGAATTACTTAAACCGAGTCATCTATTTCTGAGCCATATAATAGTTTATCAGTCATTGTGCAAGTTTTCAAAATTTCCATTTGCTGTTGCCAACAAAGCATTCTGGCCTCCCGAGTGTTCTCGTTGGCGCGCTGATCTGCCACTTTCACACGTGCAGCATCCAATTTTTCAGCATATCAATGGGAATTATACCCACAATTAGGTCCCAGGGTATCCAGAACCAATAATAATGATTATATATATTAATTCAGCAATTTGTACGACAGTGGAACTAGTATTCACGGTTTCTAGGCATATTTTTTACACTAGTTGGTTGAAGCTTTTAATTTTTTCTGATTATGGATTCAATCTTAAACTACACATCTTGAAAGTAAATTATCATTGCTGAGATCGTCGTAAAACCGGTTTAAAAGCTTTTAAAACATCAGGAGGTGAGGGAGAATAATCTTGAGTATAAGTATCGAGCTCTCCACTTGCGTCAACGCGCTGGTAAGAGTCCAATAACTCAAAAAGTAATCATCAGATCAACTTGAAATTTTCAGAGAACATTTTCAAGATATTAAACTTAATGAAAATGCAAAAAAATAAAAATCGATTTTTCAAAAATTTCATGTACCCCTAACCCCTTAAAGTAAATTCAAAATTTCCATAAAGTTCGAAGCAAGTGTCAGCAATTTGCCTTAACGGGTTATATACAGTTAATCGACAGAAAAAAGTCATTTTTAACTTCCCGTAGGGTAAGTTATTGTAATCGGAAAAAAATCGAAAATTGAAATTTTTTATATTTTTTCGTTTCAAAGGTTTCTGAACATTTTGGCATACCTTAGAAAAAATGGATGTATGTGCGTCTGTGTGCCTGTGTGTGTGCGGATACAAATTTTCGTCGACGATTTCGGGAACAACGATCAACCGATTTGAATAATTTAAAAAACATTCGATTTGTATTGATAAGGAGACGTGCTGATTAGTTTTTGGCAAAGGCAGGTCTAGCCGTTCCGAAGATACGGGGCAAAAAGTGCCAAAAATGGTAACTCAGTTTTTAAGAGAACGGAGCGTCCGATTTTAATAATTCAAAAAACTTTTTACTTGTATTGACAAGATGAAAAATTGATCAAATTTTCATGAAGGCAGGTCTAGTGATTTCGGAGATCTAATGAAAAAAGTAAATAAAAATGCCATTTGGCGGTCAAAAAAGATCATTAGACATATGCACATCAGATATTTTATAGAGATTTTAACAATAAGTATAAATTTTGTTTACATTCGTATGGGTTCCGTACCAATGTTTATCTGTTAGACGGCGACGCGGCGCTTACGCGCTTTGACATTTCGTCTCTATGCAGTTAAAGCAGTACGATTGCTTTGAAAAAAAGTTTAGAATTTCCAAAATATGTCAAAATAAAGAAAACATTTTTTTTCAAAAAAAAAAATTGTTTTTTCCAAAAAAAAGTAATTTTTTGTCAAATTTATAGTTTCTCAAAAATCTAATTTTTTTGAAATAATTTTTTTTCAAAAATGTTAATGGTTTTTTAAAAAATAATAATTTTTGGTACGGAAAATTTCAGCAATTTGCCTTATGGCACGATGCCATGCGCACATATAAATGCATTTTTAACTATATTTTAAAAATAATTACAGGTAAAAATATTTATTAAAAAAAAGTTACAGCAGATCTGCGGGTGCACTTCTTGAATAACATGTTTTGCGGTGACCACTCTATCTCTGAAGTAAATCATCTGAAATTGAAAAACCAAAAAGATTTCATTATAGAAATGATAAATCTAGTAATTAATCTAAGCAGTAAACAAAATAATAATTTTTGAGAAAGTGGCGGCTCCTTAAAAAAAAGATTTTTCGCCGAAATTTTGACCTTAAATTATTCATTAAAACCAAAATATTTATCGGATAGGAAAAATCTTAGATTAATCACTAAAAATTTATTTAAGAAGATCTTGTTGAAATTTGAAGCTAATCGAATTAGCCGTTTTCGAGTTATATTGGTCACCTATTTTGAAAACACCATTTCAAAAAAAAACGAGTTTAAAGTTTGGAAAGTAAATTACATAGGATAAAAACTAATTTTTTCAACTTGTGCACTCTCGCGTTCGGCGATATGAAATTATCTCGCGCTGCTCAACTTCTTTTTCGGGATATGAATGCGTATTGAGCCCAAATTGTAATTTAAATATATTTCCTTCATATAATTCAATAGTAGTGATTCCATTCCTTCATTAAATATGCCGGTGGCTAAGTATGCAGCGTTTTTCGCAGATTTCGAACCGGTTGGAAAATTTTCATATTTCACACTTCGCATACTCAGAAATTGTTTTAAACACCGTTTTTAAACAAAATTTAGAATGCAATACTAAACAGACGAGTCACATGTAACTGAGTTTTCCTGTTGTTTTTTTATTTTTTTTGCCGTGTGTTTTCCTTTTCAAATTTGAGTGCAGCTTTTAGTACGGGAGCCAGCAACGTTTTCGAGCAAGCATTTTAGTCAGGCTGGTTTTTTGGTATTTGGTCCTTGGTGCTCTCTCGGTTAGGGTACGGGCCGTCTGCAGCTGGAAGTGGTTGCGTTAATTAGTGCGCAGCCAATTTGTACAGCGCGATTTCAAAAATTTGAAAGCATTTTAGTCAGCCCAATTTTCGTTTTTTTGACTTCGAATAGGTTCACCAGACTCAAATTTTTTGTTGCCAGACATTTTGGGCGCTGCTAAATATGTGCCAGACGCCAATTTATTTAATAATTTTTTTAAAAATTCAAATCATTTTAGTCCGTCTGAAATCTTAGTATTATGTTCGTTAAGGGTAAAAACACGTAAAATTAATTTGCCAGACGTTTCTGCGGTTGTTAACCACGTCTGGCAAGCAAAAATGTCTGGCAATATGATACTAGTTTATAGCATTTTAGTCAGTCCAATTTTCATTTTTTGACTTGATATTTGATTTGATAACTTGAATAAGTTATCCAGATTCACATTTTTGTTGCCAGACATTTTGGGCGCTGCCAAATATGTGCCAGACGCCAATTTATTCATTAATTTTTTTTAAACTTCAAATCATTTTAGTCCGTCTGTAGTTTTAATATTATGTTCATTAAGGGTCAAGAAACATAAAATTAATTTGCCAGACGTTTCTGCGGTTGTTAAGCATGCCTGGCAACGAAAAAAGTCTGGCAATATGATACTAGTAGACAGAGTGAGACAATCGCTATATACATTGGCGCGAATGAAACAAAAAACTATTATACTCGTAAGAGCGCAATACGTATACTATTTAAAGTTAGTGCAATTTCAATAACATTTTCATAAAACAAAGAAAATAAAGTTAAATAAAGGCCTAATTAGAAATGACAAAGAAATTGCATCATATTAGTCAATTTTTTAATTTTACTAGCTCTAAAAAATATGTTAATGATTCTAAAATATTGCTGTTAATATTTTGAAAAATTTGACTCGACAGTGGCTAAGTAACATCGTCAATTTCCTAAGAATATCATATATTTTAAGTTTTGCAATGGGAACTGACAATAATCATTATTTTTGCTGTACGCAATTTTTTTTATCACTAAGTTACTTGATTTTTCTTATGGTTTTCTGCCTAGTAAACGTATAGCGCTCTTACGAGTATAATAGTTTTTTGTTTCATTCGCGCCAATGTATTTAGCGATTGTCTCACTCTGTCTACTAGTATTATATTGCCAGACTTTTTTCGTTGCCAGACATGCTTAACAACCGCAGAAACGTCTGGCAAATTAATTTTATGTTTCTTGACCCTTAATGAACATAATATTAAAACTACAGACGGACTAAAATGATTTGAAGTTTAAAAAAAATTAATGAATAAATTGGCGTCTGGCACATATTTGGCAGCGCCCAAAATGTCTGGCAACAAAAATGTGAATCTGGATAACTTATTCAAGTTATCAAATCAAATATCAAGTCAAAAAATAAAAATTGGACTGACTAAAATGCTATAAACTAGTATCATATTGCCAGACATTTTTGCTTGCCAGACATGGTTAACAACCGCAGAAACGTCTGGCAAATTAATTTTATGTTTCTTGACCCTTAATGAACATAATATTAAAACTACAGACGGACTAAAATGATTTGAAGTTTAAAAAAAATTAATGAATAAATTGGCGTCTGGCACATATTTGGCAACACCCAAAATGTCTGGCAACAAAAATGTGAATCTGGATAACTTATTCAAGTTATCAAATCAAATATCAAGTCAAAAAATGAAAATTGGACTGACTAAAATGCTATAAACTAGTATCATATTGCCAGACATTTTTGCTTGCCAGACGTGGTTAACAACCGCAGAAACGTCTGGCAAATTAATTTTACGTGTTTTTACCCTTAACGAACATAATACTAAAATTTCAAACGGACTAAAATGATTTGAATTTTTAAAAAAATTATTAAATAAATTGGCGTCTGGCACATATTTAGCAGCGCCCAAAATGTCTGGCAACAAAAAATTTGAGTCTGGTGAACCTATTCGAAGTCAAAAAAACGAAAATTGGGCTGCCTAAAATGCTTTCAAATTTTTGAAATCGCGCTGTACAAATTGGCTGCGCACTAATTAACGCAACCACTTCCAGCTGGCAGACGGCCCGTACCCTAACCGAGAGAGCACCAAGGACCAAATACCAAAAAACCAGCCTGACTAAAATGCTTGTTTTGAAAATGTTGCTGGCTCCTATACTATTTGTACATATATGATTTTTTAGATTTTATTTTCTGAATATACATATATTTAAGAATATACACAAACAATTTCATATTATTCTGGTGAATATTTTCGAAGTTCCATGCAAATTTGAAAAGAAAAACAACCTTTAAGGCAGGATGACATGCGCCACTAGCGTTTTACTATTTTTAACTAATCATAGGATACATATATTTTGTTAGGTACTAGTTTCTGATGATTTTCCCGCGGAAAACGGCACCTGGACTTACGCAGCGATTTCTTTCATTAACGCAGGTGGAATTCGTGCCGACATTCCAGCAGGGAGTAAGTATAAAAGAATCTAAGACTTTATGATGAGAAGAGTTTTGTTATTTATCGTATAGTTCATATGTCGACTTATGTTGATCAACGAAAATGAATAATATAAATAAATGTGACATTTCAAAACCATACACTTTTTCTGCTGTGTAATTCTTTCGAACAAAGAACAAAATATCGATAATGTAACTTAAATCTTAGATCTAATTGGGGCTGTGGCAGAAAGTCGGTAAAACTTAAAACAAAAAATGTTCCGTTCTTTTTATTTAAGAGTGAAGAACTAAATAAATATATCTGACAATTTAGATTTCAACTGTTCCACAGTACGATTTGGCGCTCTGAATCAGAATGGTTTAAAACGGCACGTTAGGTGCCAGATTCACTGTACTATCTACTAAGATTGATTGATTAAGTCAATAACTTCGTGGTTTTGATACTTGTTTTTTTTCGAGTAGTATTGTTATTATTTACAACTAGTATTATTATTTACAGATATCACATACAATGATTTAGTAACCGCACAACCATTCGAAAACACTCTTGATACCATGGAATTGCAGGGTAAACATTTGATGGAAGCAATTGAACACGCCGTTTCTGTGTCATGGTCAGATAAAGAATTTGTGGCTAGACATATGCTTCAAGTTTCTGGTATGTAATTTGCGCTATCTGTTTTTAATGTTCGTAACTTAATTACGATTTTTTTTAGAATTTTTCATAAATAATTAATAAATTATTTATATTAGTTACATATTTTAATTAAACGGAAATTTAAACGTACCCAAAATCAAATGTACTTACAATTAATTAATATATTTAAATGTAACAGTCTGTAGGTATATTCAAAACTCATCGTTAATTTTAGGTTTACGCGTTGTTTATAATATTACTCTTCCCGTTGGACAAAGAACGCTATCGCTTGAGGCTCTATGCAGACGCTGTAGGGTGCCAAAATTCAAACCCGTTCAGGAAGACGAATGGTACAGAATGGTCGTGCCAAGTTTTATAGGAAATGGAGGAGATGGTTTTACCATGATATCTAAAAACAGACGTAGACTACGAGTTGGTGAACTAGATCAAGATGCTTTGAAGCGTTATATTAGGCACCAGACTCCGATTACACAAGGTTTAGATGGTAGAATAATAATGTACCGATCATAGATATAACTTTTATTCTAAATTTAAATATTTAGATTAGACTCTGTGCATTCAAATCAACAATCAATCAAAGTATTAATTATTGAATCAACTTTTTTTTTCTTATGTCATCATATGATTTACAGCTGTCAGATAGACATCAATTGAATTTGTTGACTTATGTTACAAACAGGGCCGGATTTAGAAATTTGGCGCCCCGGGGCACTGACAAAAATGCCGCCCCATCCCTGAAATTTTACGAACTTTCGCACTTTTTTTTAAAGCAATCGCGCTGCTTCAGTTGCGTAGGGACAAAATATAGAAGCGCGTAAGCGCCGCGTCGCAGTCAACTGATAAACAATGTTACAGAACGCATATAAATGTAAACAAAATTTATGCTTATTATTATAATATCTTTAAAATATCCAAATGTTTCTTTCTCAAATTTTTTATTGGATCATCGAAACCGCTAAACCTGCTCCCCCACAAATCTAAGCAGTTATTTATTCTGTAATTTTTTTGAATGATATTGGACGCTTTTTTTCTCAAAAACGGAACTATCATTTTTGGAATTTTGACCCGTATCTTCAAAGCAGTTGGATTTGCCTTGGCCAATAACTAATCAGCACGTCTCCTTATCAATAGGAATTGAATCATTTAAATCGGTTAATCCATGTTCTCGAAATTGACTTGAATAATTAAAAAATATTAGATTTGTATTGATGGAGAGACGTGCTGATCAGCTTTTGGGACAAGCAATTACGAAAAATGGTAATTGAGTTTCGATATTTCTTCTCTGAAACAGCTACGCAGCGCGATTGCTTTGCAAAAAGTTCATAATTTTCAAAAAAATTCAAAATACGAAAAATGTCTTTTAAAAGTCTTTTTTTTCATTTTTCAAAAAATTTTAAAGCTCTTTATAAAATGTAATTTTTAATACGGGATGTTTCAGTAATTTGTCAGGCACAATGCCATGAGTCAGTAGTAAGCTTGGAAGTGCACAAATTCGTCATTTTAAGAGGGCTCGAGAACTGAAGAACATATTTTTCTTAAACTTTCAGCTTGTTTACGCATCTTTATATTAGCCAAATTGCCAAATTTGATAACTTATTAACCACTTTGATAATTTACTTTCGGAGAGGGAGGCAAGGCAAAATAATAAATTCTAGTTATCGGTTTTTTCAATCCAAATTTTGCATTGCAATCGTATTATATTTTATTAATTATATTTCTTGAAATAAAAAATGTTGTTAAAAAAAGTTGATTATATTGTATAGAATTTTTTTTCTCACTATCCAAATTTGGCCGCCCCCCAAAATTTGCCGCCCTGGGCAGTAGCCCCGATTGCCCCTACTGTAAATCCAGCACTGGTTACAAAAATGAGCAGTTGTTTGCATGTAAATTAATGCATGCTTGGAAGAAAGCACAGATGCATTCTTCTCTTAAATTAGAGTGAGAGATATAAGATTGACGTGGTTTTTGAGTTAGATTTATAGGCGTTTTTCTTTTCAATATTATTTTGGTGTAGATCATTGCCTAGAGCGTCTTTCCGAACACATTAGATTGGTTTTCTAATTGGTATTTGTTTTTGCTGGTATATTCGTCATCTCCTGACTTACTGTGTGTAGACCTATATCCTGATAAAACAGCCAGGTTGGTACGTATTTTAGGACGTGTAATTTTTTCCCCAATTTTTTTTACCCAAAATTTTTTTGTTTTTTTTCCAATTTTTTTTTAAATAATTTTTTTCCAAAGAATCAAAGACCGTAGTCCATGGTTTTTCCCCAAAATCTTTTTCTCAAATCTTTTTCCCAAAATTTTTTCCACAATTTTTTTTCACAATTTTTTTTCCATAAATTTGTTTCCCAAATATTTTCCCCCCAAATTTTTTTCCAAAATATTTTCCACAAAATTTTTTTCCCAAAATTTTTTTACGAAAAATCATGGTTTTTTCCCAAACATTTTTTTCAATATTTTCCATTTTTTTTCCCTAAATTTTTTTTCCAAATAATTTTGCCTCCTTTTTTCTCCAACATTTTTTTTACAGTTTTTTCCATTTTTTTCTAAAAAATCAAAGACTTTGTTCATGGTTTTTCCCAAAAGTTATTTTCCCAAAAAATCAAAGGGTTAGTCCATGGTTTTTCCTCAAAATTTTTTTCCCAACATTTTTTCCCCAAATTTTTTTTTCAAAATTTAATTAATCTACTTTTTACGCACTATGAGGTGCAAAACTATTTATTATTAAAAATTTACTATTAACGTTTTATAGGAAATTATATTTCTATACTTTAATATAAATATTTATGAAATATAGCATCACTTACCAAACAATGTTGTTTCTATTATTATATAATATAAAAATATACAGCATATATAACACAATATTGTAATTTCAACGTATTTAATAAATGAAATTAAATAAAATGCCAGTTTTCTACATTCGTCTCTTACTTATCGCACGCCATCCTCCACTCAGAGAGAGAAGAAAATCGATTTTTTTTACTCAGATTTGTTCTATGGCATTCTCCTATGGCAGTTTTTATCTATTTATTTATTTTTTTTGAAGATTTTGTGCTGACTCCGATGACATGATCGCGGTCATTTTTATATAAATCTCAATGATGACGTGGTATATGAAATAATTCAACATAAGTAGTCGAAATAGAGAAGATAAACCTGATTAATTTGAAATTTTTTTTTCCTTTTTTTTTTTCTATCAATTTTTTTTTTCCAAAATTTTTTTCACAAATTTTTTTCTCCAAAATTTTTTTTCCAAAATCTTTTTCAGAATTTTTTTTTCCAAAATTTTTCAATAGCACATTCTCTAAAATATATAATGCATGTCCCTTTGCGGGTATTAAAACTTCGGTCCCCAATTTTTTTCCAAAAATTTTTTTTCTCAAAATATTTTTTTACCAATGTCTTCCAAAAAAATTTTTACCAAATTTTTTTCCAAAAAATGTTTTTCTAAAATTTTTTTTTCTAAAAATTTTTTTTCTCCAAAATTTTTTTTCAGAATTTTTTTTCCCAACATTTTTTCACCCAAATTTTTTTTCCCCAAAAATTTTTCCCCAAAATGTTTTTCCCAAAATTTAATAAAATTGAATTGGGTGAAAAAATTTTTTTCAGAATTTTTTTCCAAAAAATTTTGTTCCCCAAAATTTTTGCGGGTATTAAAACTTTCTGTCCCCAAATTTTTTTCCAAAAATTTTTTTTCCCCAAAATTTTGGAAAAAAAAATTTTGGAAAAAAAAATTGTGAAAAAAATTTTTTGATCATTTTTTTTTCCCAAAAATTTTTGTGGAAAAAATTTGGGAAAAAAAATTTTTTGGAAAAAATTTTTGGGAAAAAAAATTGTTCAAAAAACTTTTTTCACATTTTTTTTTCCAAAAATTTTTTTTCCAAATTTTTTTCGTCATCTCCTGTATATTCGTCATCTCCTGACTTACTGTGTGTAGACCTATATCCTGATAAAACAGCCAGGTTGGTACGTATTTTAGGACGTGTAATTTTTTCCCCAATTTTTTTTACCCAAAATTTTTTTGTTTTTTTTCCAATTTTTTTTTAAATAATTTTTTTCCAAAGAATCAAAGACCGTAGTCCATGGTTTTTCCCCAAAATCTTTTTCTCAAATCTTTTTCCCAAAATTTTTTCCACAATTTTTTTTCACAATTTTTTTTCCATAAATTTGTTTCCCAAATATTTTCCCCCCAAATTTTTTTCCAAAATATTTTCCACAAAATTTTTTTCCCAAAATTTTTTTACGAAAAATCATGGTTTTTTCCCAAACATTTTTTTCAATATTTTCCATTTTTTTTCCCTAATTTTTTTTTCCAAATAATTTTGCCTCCTTTTTTCTCCGACATTTTTTTTACAGTTTTTTCCATTTTTTTCTAAAAAATCAAAGACTTTGTTCATGGTTTTTCCCAAAAGTTATTTTCCCAAAAAATCAAAGGGTTAGTCCATGGTTTTTCCTCAAAATTTTTTTCCCAACATTTTTTCCCCAAATTTTTTTTTCAAAATTTAATTAATCTACTTTTTACGCACTATGAGGTGCAAAACTATTTATTATTAAAAATTTACTATTAACGTTTTATAGGAAATTATATTTCTATACTTTAATATAAATATTTATGAAATATAGCATCACTTACCAAACAATGTTGTTTCTATTATTATATAATATAAAAATATACAGCATATATAACACAATATTGTAATTTCAACGTATTTAATAAATGAAATTAAATAAAATGCCAGTTTTCTACATTCGTCTCTTACTTATCGCACGCCATCCTCCACTCAGAGAGAGAAGAAAATCGATTTTTTTTACTCAGATTTGTTCTATGGCATTCTCCTATGGCAGTTTTTATCTATTTATTTATTTTTTTTGAAGATTTTGTGCTGACTCCGATGACATGATCGCGGTCATTTTTATATAAATCTCAATGATGACGTGGTATATGAAATAATTCAACATAAGTAGTCGAAATAGAGAAGATAAACCTGATTAATTTGAAATTTTTTTTTTCCAATTTTTTTTTTCTATCAATTTTTTTTTTCCAAAATTTTTTTCACAAAATCTTTTTCAGAATTTTTTTTTCCAAAAAATTTTTTTTCTCCAAAATTTTTTTTCCAAAATCTTTTTCAGAATTTTTTTTTCCAAAATGTTTCAATAGCACATTCTCTAAAATATATAATGCATGTCCCTTTGCGGGTATTAAAACTTCGGTCCCCAATTTTTTTCCAAAAATTTTTTTTCTCAAAATATTTTTTTACCAATGTCTTCCAAAAAAATTTTTACCAAATTTTTTTCCAAAAAATGTTTTTCTAAAATTTTTTTTCTCCAAAATTTTTTTTCAGAATTTTTTTTTCCCAACATTTTTTCACCCAAATTTTTTTTCCCCAAAAATTTTTCCCCAAAATGTTTTTCCCAAAATTTAATAAAATTGAATTGGGTGAAAAAATTTTTTTCAGAATTTTTTTCCAAAAAATTTTGTTCCCCAAAATTTTTGCGGGTATTAAAACTTTCTGTCCCCAAATTTTTTTCCAAAAATTTTTTTTCCCCAAAATTTTGGAAAAAAAAATTGTGAAAAAAATTTTTTGATCATTTTTTTTTCCCAAAAATTTTTGTGGAAAAAATTTGGGAAAAAAAATTTTTTGGAAAA